CCCCCCCCCCCCCTAACCTTAACTCCCTGTATGTTCTAGGAACAGGGCTGAATGGAAAGGAAACTACTAAGAAAAAATTTTCGAAAAGTTTGGATTTACCTCACGAGGTTGTCGTGTTTGTTTGGGAACTTCTGGAAATGCTGATCCATTCACTACCGGAAGTTGTCGGAAATTCAAACCGGAAGTTCTGGTTGGGTTGGTTCACAAAGACACTGTCCTGAGCAAAGGCGTTTTTGAGCGACGCACGTCTGTCAGAAGTGGGCTTTTGCATTCATGAGCAAGTTCATTAAGAGAAAATACAGTCGCAGCACAAATGTGGTAGCGTCACATGACGGCACATTAAAATGGAAAAGGCCTCTCTTCCGGTTGATATGCGCCGTTCAAAAACGCCTTTCCTTAAGCTCCCTATTGGGCCAATTGACCACTCCAGAAAATACCATAACATACCATAATAGTCTTTGTAAGTTACTCCAAAATTTTGCATAAGCATTGCCTTCAGTTTCTCTTGGGAGTTAAAATGGCCCCAATTGCAAACGAAACTGAACTCGGCAATGTTTACGCTAAATTTTGGAGTGACAAACAAAGAGTATTGTGGTATGTTATTGTATTTCCTGGAGTGGCCAATGGTGCGTTTTCCGGGCCCCAAACAATACTAAAACAATTGGAAGAATGACTTGTCATTGTTTCCTGCGACCAATTAGGAGAGACCTTACGAACAGCTCCTACACTTCTGCCTTATTGGACATGCATGAAAACCACGGGCGTCAAATGAAGGGCGTCGGCCATTTGTGCCAACCTCGTTCCCAGAGGGCGGGTAGGAGAGAACCCTGGGAACGAGGTTGCATTTGTGCTTGATAAAAAAGCCATGGCTGATGATATTTCGAGTTAAATCTTGTGGCTACGATGTTCGGCTGGGGGCTGGGTTGCATGATGTGGTGTGTAAATGAATCCAAAACCGTCCGAAAGGTATCCGGTCGCTTTGCCATCAAGAATAGGACTTAGCTCATTATTTTAATGTCTTAAGAAGTCCTAAGAATAAACGAGAAATGAAAAGAACTTGCGATAATTGTGAGACGTTTCTACGCACGTTCATTCTTTTTATGTCATTCTGTGGGAGGGAAATGCCGAACTTAACATTAATCGAACTTATCAGTATTTGGTGTATTATGATCATGAAAAAATCAACACAATGATCGTCAATTATGGGATCGACAGTTTTGCATTTATGTCAATTTTAAATTCGCATAGGCTTGACGCTTTTGGTAAAGTGTCGGAAGGTTTTTCCGCAGAGCCGTCACTTCTCTGTAGGACCGGGATCAAACCACTGACTGGTACAGCAGTAGATTAAACAGGACTAAACTTGGTTCCAACAGCGTTTATTCTTCAGCGGATTAAATGACAATAACTCAGGCAGGAAAAGGCGAAAATAATCGAAAAACAGTAAAAACTAGCTTACCAGTACTTACATATGATTCTTCTACAACCATTGAAGACAAAAAAATACAATAGAAATATAGACAGAAATCGCTTAGAGTTAAATGAAAACTAATTAAAACTCTATTTTTAACCTGAAATCTTTTGTTACTGTTGTTATTTTAGAAGGTAGAAGTACAGTAATGAAATAAAGACCTTGTAGCCAGGTCAGCAAAACAGCGTTTATGTACAAAGTATTACAATTTGAATGAAAATGCAAGTTCAGCGAGCGGCTGTTTCATCGAACGAAGCGTAGACTAATGTTGCAAGCCAGTTTTCACCTTAAACAAAAACCGATCTATTCAAAATAAGACAGCAAAACCTTTCATATTCAAAATTCACCTGTTGCTCTATTTGACTAACAACTTAATGAAATATTTGTTCTCAAATAAACATCTAAATTGCAATTAAAACATAGTGCACCTGTACAAAAGGCCTATGAATAGATGTCGCCCGGTTGTAAAATCACGATAGATAGACTGAAGTTAAATAACCATTATTCAGAAACTAATTATCCTTTTAAAAGTCATCATTGAGGTAAAATGTTTATAATTCAAAAGAGAACGAGCAATCAGTTTTGTTTGTTAAGGAACACTGTTGGCTTTTCTACAGTTATTACTTAGCGGACACAAAGCAAATTAAAGGACAATAAAATGGCACGAGCCTTTTTGCGAAGCTAAAACATCTTTATGCAGTTTCAGTATGAATTACTAAAAACAACGTCAAAGATATGAAATTCGAGACAAATAAAGAATTCATGGAAAATCTCTCCTTACATTGCCTTCGAGCTTCGACAATCTTTTCACATCTGGTTCTCTTAAGTTCTTCATGATTACAATACTCGATTTGCTCGGAATCTTCGACCCAATATAAAGTCTAACACACCCTTAAAACAAATAAAATGTCTTGCCAATGTACACACTTTTGGAACTCTCTAAGTTCAAACGTCGATCTTTTCATGTACCAAACTTAATACCTATTTAGGTTAACCCATATGATAAGTCATTCGACGGTTGATTCAGATGTCGAACTTAATTAGTCGGACTCAATTCATTTCCATGATGTTCAATGGTCCAAGACGCAAGTGAAATAAATTTTAGTAATTTATGCATTAGGTTCGGCATATAAGAAGTTCGACGTTTGAACTGGACCTAAGCAAACATTTAACTTCCATCACATGGTCTAGCTAATTTTAAATTTTCCCTTAAATGTGAACTTTTGTCGAAAAGTTTCTAGTTAATATGTGACCACCTTTATTAATAATAATCCAACTAAATCTCCTTATAATTTCTAAACGATTGTATATAACTCAACTTCCTCCTCTTTTTAAAGTAATTTTGTTTGTAACTAATGTTGATTCCATTCCTTTTTCCTGTATCTTAGCAATCTGTTGTTGATATTAAGTCTAGCATTCTCGTCCCCAGAGTCTCCTGGTGGCCTGAGCGCGAGAACGAGGAGGCTCTGGGAACACAGGATTTGAAGTCCTAGATTTCAGGACTTTCGGCCATTTCTGATTTTCTACAACAGCGTCCTGGTTTTCGTGCTCAGGCCCCTAGGAGGTTCTGGGGACGAGAATGTAAGTCTACTTAACTAACCTAGGAAGAGCCTGGACCCTACCTAAGCCCCAGGCTTCCAGTTCAGGCTTCCCCGTCACCATCTTTTTCTTTACATTTATCTAAATTCTACAGCCTGTAATGTGACAAAAACAAATAAATCAAAAGAAGAAGCACCATTTTCTTTCTCTTCAAGATAAAGAGTTGCCATCCTTGCGAGGAACGCTCTACCGCGTAATTGTGATGAAAATTAAACTCTCTTCGACTAGATAATTAGAAACTGCTTCACTGCATTCTTCATCGTACCTATACAACAAAAACAGCAAGGAAAAACGTTAGCAAGCTAGCAGAAGAATAGTGATTTCAGCCAGCGAAGTCAAACAATTAATAATTTGGCGCCTAACTTGAATCATTTCGAGCACAGAATACCATTAAAACCTGTAGCTCACATCGTACGAGAAACCTTATTGTAGATTAACCGATACTTACAACCGAAAATGTTTAATAAAGCCCCCCCCCCCCCCCCCCTCCCCACCCCCCCACCCCTTAAAAAAAAAAAAACCACAACAACCCCCCCCTCCCCTCTTCCTCCCCCCCTACCCTATCTCAAAACACAAAACAACCCCCATAGACAAGGTCACTATACTATATCCCCGACCTTCAGCGCTAGGAAGAGGACAGATGGTTTTTGTGTTTCCGTGT